GATAGAAAACCAAGAAGTTCCATATTTGGTTTAACACCTTTGACTTCTTTATGTTCAGCAAAGAGACGAGCAGCACCATCACCTGGTTTCACAACCCATTCAAAAAATTCAGCTATGTGAATAGCAACTTTTTCTGGTTTTATATTTTCAATTTTTGAAATTCCAATAAGAATAACATTTTGTTCAGCGATTGTTGATACTAATTTGTGATAAAATGGTGCAGGTACTATTCCTGCTAGACCAGTTAAAAAAACAAGCACTGGATAAGAGCCAGGTGTTGTTGGGGAATAAATATCAAGTCGAAATTGTGTTGTTGGATCAGTGATAATAATGTTACCGACTGACCAATGATCAATTTTACCAGCGGAGGAGAATGGTATAGCTATAAATAGGGTAATCAGTACTAGAAACATGTTGTTTTGTAATATTTGTACACTTGTGAAACCCTCTTATATCAGTACCCATATTATTGTGGGGAATAGACACATCTGTATTAGTTTTAGTTATCTTTTCTTTTTTTTCAGATGTTTGCGATATTAGATAATACACGAGATTCTGTCGCAACAAGACAAAATTTACTTGAATCTCTATTACGTGAATGTCAACAAACAACTCAGCCGTTCCTTAATCAATTAATTGAATATTATTTTCAAACAGAATCACTAAATGCTCTTCTATTAATTAAACAATTCAATGAAACAGGAAAAGAACAATCTAAAGTTATTAAATTATTCCTATTGTAAACAGTAAAATGAAATTTTCTTTTTTTCAGATATTGATTGAACATTTAAATACACAAGGTTTAAAACAATGTAATCGTCATTCCAGTAGTAGTGTTAGTAGTGAATTACATTCACATGAAGAACAAGAAAAAGTCGCTCATATTATGAAAGTCTTTCGTATTTTATGTCTAATTATTCACAGTCAAGTATCTGGATTACCAGCACTTATTAAAGATAGTGTAGTACTTCCAAATTGTCTCAATGCAATTATGAAGGTATGAAAGAAATACGATCAAATCTAAAAATTTTGTAAAAGCAGCTTAGAGTTATCATCTGAAAAAAAAGAGGATACTTTAAAATGCATAAATGTAGACAATGTTATGGTTATTTTACTGGGCTACAGCAATTTTGGCCCAAGGAATTTTCGGCCCGAGCTTTTCGCCCTCACTCTCATTTTGAGACCATCATCCTGAGTCTGGGCCGAAAATTCCTTACGCTGAAATTCCAGGCTTCCATTTTACTATTTTCGAAAAATTATTTTCATCTTACATTTTTTGAGAAAAAATTTAAAAAATTCAATAAAAGATTTACATCATTTTAAAACTTGTCAGAGTGATGTTTTGTATAAATATTTATAATCAAAATCGGTGATGCTTTGACTTTGTTTTTGGACGATCGCTTTTTATCTTTTTGAGATATTAAACAGTAAACTTCATAGAATAAAACTACCAATGTAGAAAAGTAGAGATGAATACAGTACAGGTTATCAATGTGTCCTATTAACGTTTTTGCTTTTGATATCTCATAAAGAATGTGTAATTTCTGTGGAAAACTTTAATAATATGAATAGTTTTATAGAATCATAATATGACGAATAATATTTGACTAAAATGATATTTCCTATGAAAACCCTTTGCATGCAAAAACACGCAATTCTTAGAAAAAAATGATCTATTTTTTTAAGAATGTCAAATGAAAATATTTATTCAAGATTTATAAAATTACCATAAGATTCTACTACATTTATACATTTTGAAGTGTCGTCTTTTTGCATGATAGGTCTAATTTTTCTCTACAAAATTATATTGTTCAATCAAGTAACTATATATTAATTTCCCATTGATAACATTAATTTAATGACTAGGAAAGTTCTTCAACTGATAAATCGCTTTCGAGTCGAGGCTATTTGCACTACATAGATCTAAATGAGCTATTAGTACTCTAAAAAGAGTTCATTTCCTTAAATTATTGATACGGACATACTTTACTTTCACAATATTTTTTTTAATTGAATGCCATAGTTCACAAAAACTGTTTTTCGAATATCGACTTGAAATTTTGTATAGACGCAGATCTTAACGAGAGTAATTTCATTGTAAGTTTCAATTCTTTTAAACATCAGTTCTTCTGATGTTCCTGAGGAGGACCACGGCATTCATTTAAAACAATACCGTAAAAATGCAGTATCTCTGTAACAATCACCTAAGGACATGAACTCTTGTCAAAGTATTCATAACGCACTTGTGTCTGCATAATCTCGATTCGAAAACAACTTGTCATTTGGAGAACTACCTTCGTGAAACGGGTCAAAATTTTTGATTCACTCTTTATATGCAAAAATTGTTTAATATTTAGTGTAAAGATGATCCAAATGTCTTAGCACAAGCCTGTTATTTTTTTGCTGCCTTAACTGCAACTTTACCTGGTGAAATTGTTCAACAAACAGAATCAATTCTGAATATATTTAAAGCAACATGCAAATATCTTTTTAAACATTTAGCAGCACTTCGGCAATTGTCAATTCAAACAAATTCTCGTAATTAATTATCGAAATGAAAATTTTCTTTCATTTATTTCATTGTTCTTCTTCTTTTTCTTATTTAGATTCTCTTGAAAATGTTCAATTATGGATTGTAAATCAATCAGCACATGCATTATTTTATACACTTTATACAGTATATCCATGCAATTTTTTAAATCATATTCAACGTGAATTTCAACGAAATGAAAATCTTGATTTATTTGAATATATATTTATGCCTATGTTTCAACGTGTTCGTTTTAATCCACGTCTTATTGATAGTGATCGTAAACGTGAAGTAGAAAAAGTCAAGCGTTTGAGACAATATTCATGTAATATTATTTATGAAGCACGAAAACTTTCACTTGATCCATTATTTGGAAGAGAATCACCAGCAACTCATAATTGGATGCATCAAGAAATGAAAAGAATTTTACCTTTTTATAATTTTAAACGTACGAATATTAAAGAACACAATACATCTTAATTATATATATTGAATACTTTTTTTCACAGGACAATCTCCAGCTAGATCAATTGATCAATTACCTGACGGGCTGCGAAATACAATAGACATTTCTAGTCCACGTAAGAGAGATTTTGTTTCTTTATTTGATTATTTTAAACTGTTTTCTATCATTTAACTTAGCCGAAAATATTTCAAAACGATCTAACAGTTCGCCACTTCAAAAATTCAAAGTTTGTCTATATTTTAATCATAGATTTTTTCTATTTATAATAATTTTATTAAGGAAAAAATCAAATCTTATCTTCGTCCAACACCATCACCAATGCCAATCATTACACTTTCAACAACAGATGCTACTACAACAACTACTAAAACTAATAATAATACATTATCTATTCCAAATGTTTCTTCTTCTGTTGCATCATCACCATCATCACCAACACCTGTATCAGACATGCGTGCTGTTAAAACAATGCCAGAATTACAAAGTAATAATGATCTATCATCATCTTCTTCATCAACTCCGACTACTCAACGTTCTGATCAACAACAGCAAATATATGTCAAATCAGTTATAGATACAATTTCAAAAATTTATGATCAAAGTAAGTTTAAATAAAAATTCTTGTCATCACAGCATCTTTGGGAGTAAAATATGAAACTCACGTGTATTCTTGCGCGTCATTATACTAATATAAAATACATTAAATGAGAAATCTCTTGTATTGTATAGTTGTTTTCCAAAAATAATCGATCGTCAAAGAAACAATCTGTCTTATTTATTTCTGCATTTCAAACAGAACTTGTTTTACTGGCACTCTCTTCTGTAAAACCCATAAATATTTTCAAAAAACATAGTGAGTGTGTTACGATCAGATTGTTTCCATCCGGTCGTAAGACAGAGAGAAGATACCCTTTCTAGTACAGTGGTTAATACGATTGTCCGATAAGCAAGACAAGCATGGTTTGATTACATGCGAAGGGAAACTATCTTTTTCTCTGTTATGTTGTCTCTCTGATAACAACTCGTAACAGAGTTTAACTTTAAATCGAAATTTCTGCGCTCTCCATCTAGATTCTAGCAACGAGAAGAAATGCGTCTGTAATAAAAGCGCTCAGATCATTTTGAAATTTTCTAGAAACTTCTAAGGTATCCTAAGATTTCTACAGGAGATTCTAACTAGTTGAAATATTATAGACTTTAGTATTTAATATAGCAAAAAGATCTTATTGTAGATGTCAATCAGTAGAGAATGGTGATATTATTGATCTTGCAGAGTCAGAACAGGACGATCATACAAAATATGAATTAATTCAATCTTAAGTTTAGATAAAAATCAACTGTATATACCACAATTTGTCGAGAGAAAGGATGATGTACTTGAAAGCTTACTGAACGATTATATCAATGTGTATAGTAGGCTAATATAGTGATTGAGAATCGATGAAACGAAGACTAAAATGATATTTACCGTTTCCTATGGCATAGATCGTATATATTATCATTAGAAGAAAAGAATTTATGTATTGAAGATGTATCTGACAATACGCATTAAGGTTTTTTAATATACAGATGTCAAATGAATTTAATAACTTGCTCTAAGCGCAAAAATTTTCGAAACGATAAAATTTCAGAACGCTCGTATCAACTCTAAAAATTGTTATCATTTCGATTTATTTCATTTATTTGACATTCTTTTAAATAAATTACTTTGACCCTTCTTGTTTAGCGCATTTTCGTGTTTCTAAAGAACTCTGAGAATGAAGTTGAGTCTCGATTGTTCTTGATTGTTTGGACAACGTACTCATTGTCATCTGAACTTTGAGCTCCGTTGTTATGAGAGAAAAAACAATTTGAATTCCACAAAGTTTATCTGAAATAATTTATTAACTTTTTTCGTAGATTTACCATCTCATTGGAGAAAAATTCTTGGTCGTTACGATCCAAATCTTCTTGTTGTTGTAACACCACAACGTCAAGCAACTTTTTATGTTTCACCATCTGAACATAGTCTTGATAATCAACAACAACAGCAACAACAACAATCACAACCACAGCAGCAAGTAGATGATAGTTCACCAACATCAGCAAATGAAAAAAGACAACGATGTGCATCAGCATCATGTGCTACTAGTCAACAAATTCATTCACCTGTTCTTGCTGCACCGACAACATCAACTGATGATATTTTACCTCGTACACAATCACTTTCAACAAAACAACGTACTCGACATTCAGCTTTAGTATCAATAACAGAACCATTTTATCAAAAAAATTTTCTGACAAATCAAATTCAATATGAAGAAGACGATAATGATGATAATGTTCTTATTGATCAAAAATCTTTTATTGATCCATGGTCCATTCAGATACCATCTGAATTATATATTTGTTCAGAAACAAAAAATTCTATTATAGATGAATTAACATGGAATGATCATGATTTTATTTCCATACCACATTTTGATTTTAATGATATTGTTACAAATAGTAAATATAATAAAATTTCCTGTTATTATAAAAAAAAAAGAAACAAATATTTCATCATTTTAGATTGTTCACCAAGTGAACTTAAACAATTTGATCGTTTATATAAATGTCATTCATGTTATGAAATATTTTTGACTGAACAATATAAACAAATATGGGAACATTTATGGACAAAACAGAAAACATATCAAAGACATCTCAATGAACTTCAAACAACAGTAAGAATAAGAAATTATTTTTTTCCTCTACTTTAAAATTTACATTCTTAAATTAATTTTTTAGCATGCACTTATGAATACAGTTCGACTTGAAGTTCAAAGTCATCTTTCTGATGAAGTTAATATATATGAAAACAATTCAAAATGTCTTTCGGATGAAAATACTTTATTAGGTGGAAAAGTTGTTGAATTAGGAAAGTGAGTTGAGAACAAAATAAAAAAAATATTATTTAATTCATCATTTTTTTATATATAGAGTGGCATCTCGACGAAAGCAAACTTCTGCACATGAAGAAAAAATTAAAGAAATTCAAGAACTAGAAAAATCATACGAACAACTTCGTAAAGTAAGTATAGAGAAGATAAATTCCGATTTCGGTAAGGCATATGGTAATTACAAACTTCACCAAAATTTGTTTTTTTTTTTTTTGTCATGATTGCATATAGCTCGTTGATTTACATATAAAAATGTTGTTTATGACATATTCAGAATACAATTTTTATAGTGAAAACTTAGGAAAATTAGATTAAAAAAAGCTTATAAAAACTGAAGTACGTTGAAAACATTAAGCCTCAATATTCATCCAAATGTTGTTTTTTTTATTTTATTCACGATGCAGTTCGGGGAAAAATCTCAGCATGTTGTTTAAGAGTATTGTTTGAAATACCTTCACTCAGACGTGATAGATACAATCATAGAAGCGTCATAGAACGTGACACACGCCTTATCAACGCTTCTCCTTCCTCATCCAAGGCCGTATATCAATATCATCTTGTTTTAATGTATGAACTACTTTTGTATTTTCAGTATGATAGCAAAACACCATAAATGCTGGTTTGTATTTTAAGCTTTTGATCCTCAGAACTTCAGTTCCAAAAGAAACAAACATCATATCCAGAATTAGCAAAAACAAACCGAATCGAATAGTTCTGCCAAATTTTGCTCCTTATACTTTCTCACTGTTATTTTCAAACACTCGTACCTGAGCTTTCTAGAGTCCTACGGGACAAACTGTTCTCAAGTTTCGTTCGGTTTTCTTTTCAAAATGTCCCAATCCTGAATGTCCCACAGAATAGAACAAACAAGATTCGAGACTGTCCCGTAGAACTCAAGTGCTTTTCATAAGAACCGAAATTTGACGAAAATAAATGTTGAATATCGAGTATATTGTTCAATGTCAACTTTCATGCTAATTCTGAATATGATATTCGTTTCTTTTCTAGCCGAGGCTCTGATGGCCAAAATGTTAGACAAAAAATCCGTATTGATGGCGTTTTTTTATTATATTGACAAAAAAAAATGATTTTCTCAGCAATCAAACAATATTATTGAGATTTGATGCTATTGAAGTAGGCTTTTTGATCGTTTTTAATCTAGTTTTCCTAAGTTTCCGTACAAAAGTATAGTCTGAATATGTCAAAAACACACTTTTTATGAATAACTCGATGAGCTCTATCAAATGAGAACAAAAGAACGCCAAAGTTTGCTCAAATTTCTAACTGTTGACACCTCATATGATGAACAAAAACAAATACTTATAGAAACATTATGTAAAATATTTTTATATCATCTAGATTGTCAATAACGAAACATTAAAATTAAATAATTTGCATACGGAATTAGATGATAATGAAAAAGAAACAAAATTAGCTAGTGAACGTTCAGAACAATTAAAATTTATTACACAAGATATAGCACATCTTAATGAACTCAATCAACAACTTGAATGTCAATATTTACGATTTACAGATGATATGTCAATGACAATATATAATAATTTGTTGCCTTCTCATCTTGCTAAAGATGATGATGATGATCAGCATCAATTTAAATCAACATCATCGACAACAACAAATGGACATGATGGAACAAGTGACCTTGATTCAATTTCTTTCAATGATGAACATCGACAAGAAATCGATGATTTACAACAACAACAACAACAACAAGATGATGAACCGCTTGAAAATTATGATCAGTTACTTCGTGATATAATTGAAATGTTAAGAAATCAAAGTGAGAGCAAATACGAAGATTTTATTCATTTCTATTATTCATATCAATTGATTTAGATACAAATAATGATTTAACATCAATAGATATCGAAAACAAAGCATATGCAATTCTTCTTGAATATATGGAATCTAAATTAAACATGCAGGTATGAAACATACAATTACTTTAATACTATTCCTATAATCGAAATTATTTTAGAATTATCTGATTGATCATAACACACGTTATATTGACTTATATTTGGGAGCTCAAGCGGATTATATTGTACAAGTCGAAAATGAACTCTCATCAAATAAGTCGACACTAGAGCAAATGCAAAGTGTAGCAATGTAACTTTTTTTCTTGTATACATCTACCATTATTCACGCAATTAAAATACATAGAAAAAATATATATCTCATCGTATAATGACATATCTATAGCTGAATTACAACGCAATTATCTTATTAAAAAAAAAAAGAAAAATCTTTCAATGTGAAATTAGAAAGTGGCATAAAAAAGGACATCATTGCATTGATATCGATCGGTTTACATTGTAATTGATATATGCTTGGTAGAGTCGGATGTAATCATGCTTGTTCATTCTACTGTCATCTTAAAGAATATTTTTCAATGCATGTCTTGTCACAGTATCTTCGGCTATATATAAATTTCAGATTATTTGATTAAATCAGAATATTGTTTAATTTGTTTGACATACATGAAACTAGCTCGAAAATGACAACAAAATAAAATTGAAGAAAAATAAATTATATTTTCTCTATCAGAGATAATCAAAAACATATTTTCTTTGTTAATCCCTTCCCTCCAGCCCCCCCCCCGTCCGCCCGCCTTTTTGAGCGTTTCTGGAGAACGACTAATCAGAAAATTTTCAAATTTTGAGAACAGGAAGATCTGGGCGAGTAGAGCAAAAGTTGTCATGAACTTGAAGTTCTGAGATGCTGTTCTCTATGAGATATTGCGATCACAATGTTGCAAGATACTCCTTCCCCAATTTCTTCGAAATGCTACGTTCGATCAAGCTGAAGATTTTTTGACAGATTCTAGAGACTGTTTCGGATGGGTATCTTTTTATTTTTCGTGCTTCGAATGAAAAAACCAAAATGTCAAGGTTCCCTAAAAAATGCATGTTTTTTTTTCAGTAGAACTGCCAGAAATTAGCAGAACAATCTCTTTGGAAATAAAAGCTCATCAAAAATAGTGCATAGGATTTGTGAAAAAAGTTCAATTCGATCGGTGATACTAGATTAGAGAAACGAAAACGTTCATGTACTTCTTTTAAGGAAAACGTTGATTTGAGAAAGACAAAACTCGCTATTTACGTTACATAAATTTGATTTCATCTCGAATCTTTTAATATCTAAAGACAATTTTTTCAGTCTCAAAATGCATTCTTCAGACTACATCACGATCACAAAAAGCCAAATATGATACGAATAGGAGCGGAGTACTCTACGACCTCCTAAAAATAGTTCATTTTTGTCACAAAAAATTGAAAATTGAGATAAACGCACGGTCCGATAGGTTGAGGTCTGATCTTTCATAAATGACATGATTTTTCATTTGGTATCTCGTTTTTTCCTAAAATCTTTGATGATTTGCGTCATATGCTTCTTAGAAAATATCGATTTTTTAGCAAAGATCGATATTCCCCAATGGTTTTCTGTCAGGTATTGCAGTCTGACTGACACTCTGCCAAAGAAAAAAAGTAATAAATCTTTAGAATGAGTGTCCACAGAGAAATTTGGTTTGCCAAAAAATGGCCCTTTTTTTATTCTTGTTTGTCGAATATGTTCCGAAAGTATCACGATATAGGACTGAAAATTTCGTGCGATTTAAATGAACATGTTCCAAGATTGATTTTCAAAGGAAGTCTTATCAGAAAAAAGCAGAACTATAATAGTTTGTCGACCAAAAAAAGAACTGATATCTGCTATTCAGCATTTTATTTATAACATCACTAGCTACTTTATATAAAATATACAACTACTAATATCTGTTCAAAGAAAGATACTTTTGTCCTTGTAGCAAAATAAAATCAATTTTTTTACAAAGGCGAATACGAATCCTTCTTATTAACATGTACATTTATGCAAAAAAAATGTTAACATTTTTTATTCTGAGGAAAAGGATCTACTTGAATCATCAATACAACGGTGCCTGACGCGTTTAATTTCTTTAAGCTTTTTTGTTCAGTTATATCATCTTGCTTCTCAATACATGTCTTAAAATTGTTCAATGTTTCTTTGAATTTAATGATTACATTGCTTAAAACCAATAGTCTAATTTTTGATGATAAAACCATTGTTTTTAAGTCACTTTCTTCTGCTTTCTTAACATCCGTATGAGCCATTGGCATCCAAAAGAAAAAAAATCGTTGATTTCACGTCATTGTTTTATTAATTAGACTTAGGTGACTATGTGACAATGATTTTTTTCAATCATGAGCTATTTTCCTGATGATAAACCATCAAAAGCTCGATATGTCTTGAGCAAGATAACGAAATTAGAAGTGAACTATTTGATTTTCGTGTTTATGTAGAAAAATTCCCATATATGACTGTTCAAAGTGATTTCATCTTTTACAATATGCTAAAGAAAACAAAACATACTCTTTCAATGATTGACAACCGTAGATCTCTAACTATTACTACTGTCAAGTTCTTGAGTTTGCACTCATCTCGCTTTAAATCTATTGTCAAACATAGAATGAGTACCGACTTGACTAAAGGAAATATCAACAATATTCTTTTTTCTAAAAAAAATCATAACCCTAAATCTCCCTAATATTGACTATAATGTTATATAATTTACAAAAAAACACATGCATATTTTCTATAATTGAGAAAATTTAAAAAATTCTCTAGGTGTATGTGATATAAAATGCTTTTAGTATATTAAGTTTATATAATGAAAAATTAAAATAAAATAATATTCTACTGAATTCAATCGACAAAAAATAAGTAAATAATAGCTCCATTAAGAAAAGAAATAAAACAATTATGACCATGTTCTAATGTTTTATTGCAGCCATTGTAACAAACCATATAGAATAGCTTCTCAAAATGCTTGGTGCATAGTGAAAACACGTGGATTGGCAGTGCGCACGCAATATTCTAATACACTTGACGGAAAATTGGAGCGTATCATTTATCTCTGCAGTACAACGCAGCGATTCTGTTCCAATGAGTCATATGGTAAACTAGTGCACAAATATAGCTTTTCAAAAAGTGAACTGATATAATCGATATTTTAACTGATTCTGTTCTTCGTCTAAACACGAGCTCACGTTCAGACAGTTTTTTCTTGTAATTCCAATGTGTAGAAGTGCTATTTGTTTCAAGTAAATGAATGAAACTTCAACATCAAAACAGTAACTAAGAGTTCCATTGATATAAATCAATTATGCAATAAAAAAATTTCTTAACATTAATATGAAAATGATATTTTATTTCAGCAATGCGAAACTAGCGCCACAAAGATTCCATATCGATAGGATTGGCTCAGGCGATATGTATGACGTTCTACATAAGGTAAAATACGGATGGTTCCCATAAGCTAGATAAGTTCCTGTCTGTTTTTTTTGTAGGCATAAACTAGTCAATTTCTATTTTTAGATCAGTACTGATTTTAATTTAAAAAGGTATGTCTCAACCAATACTTTCCGAAAATGTGAGTGATACATCGGCAACGACTATTAGTCAACCAGCAAAGGTTGCACCTACATTAAAACTTGATAGTATGTGATTTTTTTTTGCAATCAGATTTTCATATGTTTCATGTTACCGAATCATATTTTTCAGTTCTTCGTATTATTCGACTTTGTCAACAACAACATGGCCTCCGTCATGGTGATTATCAACGATATCGGTGAGTTGATGTTTTAATAAAGAAAATCTTTCTATTAAGATAAAAATATCTATATTCATATTGAAGATCATTCTGCTCTCGTCGTCTGCGTCGTATACGCAAGTGTCTCGAATTAACCTATGGCAATCAAAAAAAATTTCAAAAACCTATAATTACAGATGAACTTGTCGCAAAAGATTCACGGTAAATATAAATAATCATTGTTTTTTACTATATTTATTAAATATTTTCTATTTTACAGATATCTTCTATTACCACTTATTTGCTGTGAACGTGCATGGGCTTATGCGATGCAACTTAAAAGTACATATATAAATAAACTTGTAAAGAAAAACCTTTTACATAAAATTAAATTATAGCTGAAGCAAATACAGAACCTCGAAAAAAGTTTCATCTTTTAAATCGTCTTCGTAAAGCAGTTAAACATGCTGAACAACTAGAGACATTATGTAATCAGCAGAAAACATGCGATGCTCGTACAAAACTCGAAGTTCAAGTACGAACTTAACATATAGAGAAATATTTTCTTGAATAAATTTTATTTTTCTAGGCTTATACAGCTGTTATGAATGGTCATTTAAAATTTGAAATGCAATCATGGGCTGATGCATTACAATTTTATATTCGTGCTCAGTAAGTTTATTATTAAATATAAATATGATGTGCTTATATATTAATGTATTTCTTTATAATTAGAGCGATTTATGATAATCTTAAAACGGGTGTTCGCAGTGAAGATGATAAACAGATGATTGATCAACGTATCGATGAAATAACAACAAATGCTCGATTTTGTCAATATAAAAGTGGTGATAAGAATGCTGCAAAAGAATTAAGAAGTTTAAGAACTAAAGCAGCACTTGATGATCCTGAAATGACACGTATTCTTGATGTAAGTTTACGTTTAGTCTTTTATTATTTGCTTTAAAACTTGATATAATCGATAAAATTTCTTTTTTTGGTTTAGGCATTTCTTAGTGAAACACATGAGCAACAAACATCATCAATATCAGAAATAACATGGCGACAACGTAAAATACAAGTAACAAATGAAAAAGTTCGTTTATTCTTTCTCAATTTACAAGAATTTCAAAATGAAATCAAAGTAAAAATTAAACAATACAAGTTTTTAAATGCATTTTACATTTATGTCTAGAAACAAGATGTTTCATTCGATACAAAAATGAGTCTTTATGAAAGTTTTCTTAAAGATGCAGTTGAAACATTACAAATCGTTAAGGATGAACTTAAAAATGATCCTGTAAGTAGAAAAGTTTTATTTTTTATACAATTTTTGGAAAGAACGATCTAAAAAGAATGTCGAAGTATATAGAGTGTAAAATTTGCACCTTCTGTTGACCGTAACAGGCTTGCATCTCTGACTGATTAAGTAAAAGGATGTCGAAGAAATGGGTCACAAAATATATAGAATATAGCAATCTTACTAAGATTAGCAAGAGCAC